CTGTATTTGTGATGTAAGCGTAATCAAAAGGGAGTGATTGAGTGGGTTGATAGAAAATCAAGCAAGTGCCTTGATCGAAACTGAGTGAAGGATATTAATATGTAAGTAAAGAGTGAAGTCGAAACTGAGTGAAGGATATTAATGTGTAAGTAAAGAGTGGAAGGATAGCCATGGGTAAAGACAGTGAAGGAACAGCCAACAAAAGACATGTGTATTACTGCAATCCCCAAAGTTAGATCAAGTAAAGCATGGCATAAAGGACTTACAAAGGACTATAGGAAAGGGATGCAGTCTAAACAAACAAGTCAGATTGGTGAAACAGACCATGAAAAGAACTTACAAAAAGGGTGGAGTTATGAGTCCTTACGAGTTTACGAGTAAGACTCATTCTTTATCAACTGAGGACTTAGGCAAATTTTTCATTCATTGATTCATTTACCTTTCATCACCGTGAGAACATTTTCCCTTAAACAGAAAAGCAGCCATAAAATCAGGAAAAATAGTAAAAGAAATCAGCAAAAGATATGTAAAAATCAGAATATTGCTTAGTAAGGTGGGGAGGCTTTGTTCAGGGTTCAGGGTCAATATCTAAATATAGAAACCACCTAAAAGTTGCCAGAAAATCAGAAAAAAATACCCCAAAATTAAGAGTGATCTTCTCTGTTGCCATAGTGTTGAAGGGGCTGTGTCCAGTATTCAGGGTCCATATCCAAATATGGAAATCAAGACAACCATGTAAAAATATTGTCATATCATGCAATGTGACTATATCTTGAGACCAGCTTTCTTGCTCTTTGAGATATTGGTCAAAAATGCATGACAATTTCCAAAAAGTGTCCAATTTTTTCAGTATTTTGTGTTTTTCTCAATGAGGAATGGTCTGCATGACATCATTTATATATATCTATAAAGGTAAGGAAAGGGGCTACAATTGTTGTTTATGGAGCTAAGTGAGAGGCTGTGTTTCTGATACCGTGGGAATTTTAACCCAAAAAAGGAAATTCATCACAAATATATAGAGCATGCTATTATAGGTCACAAAATATAACTAACCATCCTCTTTCCTGAGATATATGCAAACAGGACTGTGGGAATATTTTACCATAAACAGAAAAATAGTTATAAAATTGGGAAAATTTGCTATAAAAAGAAAAAAAAGCAAAAAAAAAAAGGAATAGCACACATTGTTGCTATGATATTGATGGCTAGGCTCAGAGCTCAGGGTCTATTTGCAAATATAGAACAAAACTCAGAAAATCATAAAGTGATTACATGACCAATTTCCTAATATTAAATTTAGA